ATATGTAACCGTATGTGGTGGATAGAACCTTGGTTGACTGTCCATGGTTTCATTTGCAGACATTTATTTCTGTGACACAAGTTAATTATTTTGGAATTGATTTTTTTTCTTCTGCTTCCAAACACATTTGTAGACCCTTGAAAGGTGGGAACCCCTGGGTACAGTGTCTAAGGTGCCTCATTGATAGAGTGGCCTGTATGCACAGAGCCTCTGAATAGATTAGCCCAGGTAAGATGAGGACGGGGACTCGGCTGCTTTGTCCTTGTCCCTCTCATCCATGACTGTTTCTGATGTACCTTCGGAGCCGAGGTAGAGCAGAGCAAACCTGCAAAGGGTACAGATCTTCCCCAAGCCCATGCAGCAAGTGAACGGAAGTGAACACCAACCCCGCCTTGTCTGTAGCCCAGCACGCTGCTTTCCCTGACCCTGAATATCCCGCCCCACTAAACCACTTCTGTCCACTGCCATTATGAAGCGCTGCAAATCTTATCTCATTTAACCTCACAACAGCTCTGTGGTCTACAATTATTGTTTCCATTTTACAGATGAGGAAGTGAGTCCCAGCAGCATTAATTGCCCCTCATCCCACAGCTCTGGTAGCATAGTGGCTAAGGCACTTGACTGCTAACCAGAAGGCTGGCAGTTCAAACCCACCAGCCACTCCTCAGAAGGAAGATTAGGCAATCTACTTCCATAGTGACACTGCCTCGGACACCCAAGAAGGGGTCGCTATGAGTCGGGTCCTACTCGACGGCACGTAACAACAACGTCCCACAGCTAGCAAAGTGGCAGAGCCTGGATCGACCCTTTTCTTAATCAGGCTAAGAAGTTTCTTTTTGTCACTCTCTTGGTCTCACAAGCACACAGTATTTTCTAGAAAGTCCATGACATGTGATGACACTCTGACGGCTTATACAGTGTGGCTTGTGTGTTGCCATGTTTTAAATTTTTCTGCTTTAATTTCTGATTTGATAAATAACAATACATATAACCCTTTTTGGGTTGTCTCTTTGGGGATCTTCAATAATTATTAGAGTATAAAGGGGTCCTGAGACCAAAGTGTTTCAGAGCTACTGAATTTAACATTAATAAGCACCCCTTATGTGCGACCCCCAATGAGGGGCCAGGTATTGGTAACACATGTGACTGAGGCCTGGGTCCTTGCTTGCCAGGACTCATTGTCTTGAGAGAGGAGCCAGCACAGAGGCAGTCTGTGCCCCAGGGAGGGGAAGCAAAGTGCTGATGGAATAAAGAATTTTGTCCTGCAACACAGGGGCGAGGAAGGCTTCACCGGGGAAGTACCTTGAAGTAAGGAAGAGTGTGATGGATCCAAAGAGAAGCAACAAGGCATGTTGGCAAAGGCAACAGCACACACAAAGATGGGGAAGGACCAGTGGGTACGTGAGGATGGTGCTGCTGGGTGAGGTGGGGTACCCATTCCTGGACAGGACGATAGCAGGTCTCATCCTGAAATGAACTTCACAGGTGTTCTGTGCTTTTGTTTCTGACCTTGATTACTAAATACATAAATAAGGAGCTTCGGTGGCACAGTGCCTACGGCATTTGACTGCAAACCAGAAGCTTGGCACTTCAAACCCACCAGCCACTCCATGGAAGGAAGATTGGGCAATCTACTGTAATGATTTACCGCCTTGGAAACCCAAAGGGGGTCACTATGAGTCGGAATCAACTTGATGGCAGTGAGTTTTTTATTTTATTTTTTTGGTTTGGTGGCATAGTGGGTAAGGCATTTGGCTGCTAACCAGAAGTTTGGGGTTCAAACCCACCAGCTGCTCTGTGGGAGAACGATGAGACGATCTTGACAATCCAATGGGAGTCACTATTGACTCTATGGCCCTGAGTTTTTTTTGTTAAATAGTCAAGGTTATTTTTAGTGTCACAATATCACCTCCTCAGGGAGATTTTCCCGACCACTAACCTGAAACAGCCCTCCCTACCATCCTCTCACCCCTTATCCTGCTTTATTGTCTTCATAGCCCTTCTTGCTACTGAAATCCAATTCCTATTTGCTTCCAGTCTGTTTTCCCACGGGGGTGGACGCTTCTTGAGAGCAAGAACTTGTCTGTCTTGTTCCACACCATGTCTTCAGGACCTGCCACAAAGCCCTCAGAGAACCCTGAGTAAATGACCTACGTTTAAGATACCTGGAGATAATTTTATGTTCTTTTAGCAGTTTTGTGATATTCCTGACAGCTATTTTCCCTTTTTTCTGGGAAAATGTGCCTCACTGCTTCCTTCTCTGTCACGCTTATCAGTGGTTCCCTGCGGGGTGGGCCAGGAGGGGGCAGATGAATCTGGAGAGGCTAGTAGGGAGATTGTTCCGGGCCTGGGTGCCAGGCTTGTGAATTTTCACTTACTTCCTGCAAGCAGTAGGCAGCTATCAAAGGTCACTGCTTGGGGGCCCCAAAATGTTGCTTCTCCTCTCCCACCTTACACGGACGCTCCAGTCAGTGTTGGGTCTGGGCTTCCAGGGGCTCAGGAGCAGCCCCCTTCCTTCTGACCGGAAGAGGGCAGCAGTGTCTGGCCTGTCCTCCCTTCTAAAGGTGGGAGGATCTATGTTGTTGTTATTAAGTGCCGTCGTTTCTGACTCATAGCGACCCCATGCACAGCAGAACGAAACACTGCCCGATCCTGCGCCAGCCCCACAATCCCTGCTATACTTGAGCCCATCATCGCAGCCACCGTATCAATCCATCTCATTGAAGGCCTCCCCCTCTTTCATCGACCCTCCACCCTACCAAGCATGACATCCTTCTCCAGGGAATGGTCCCTTCTTACAACATGACCAAAATAGGTGAGACGAAGTCTGGCCATTCTTGCTTCCAAGGAGCATTCTGGCTGCACTTCCTCCAGGACAGATCTGTTAGTTCTTTTAGCAGTCCGCGGTACTTTCAGCATTCTTCGCCAGCACCACAACTCAAAAGCATCAACTCTTCTTTGGTCTTCCTTATTCATTGTCCAGCTCTCACATGCATACCAGGCGATTGGAAATATCATGGCTTGTGTCAGGCGCACCTTAGTCATCAAGGAGATATCCTTGCTCCTCAGCACTTGAAACTGTTCCTTTGCAGTTGACTTTCCCAATGCTACACGTCGTCTAGTGTCCTGACTGCTCCTTCCATTGGCATCGATTGTAGAACCAAGCAACGTGAATTCTTTGACAACCTCAATCTTCTCTCCATTTATTGTGATGCTGCTCGTTGGTCCAGTTGTGAGGATTTTTGTTTTCTTTATATTGAGACATAATCCATACTGCAGACTGTATTCTTCAACCTTCATCAGTAGGTGCCTTAAGTCATCCTCCCTTTCAGCAAGCAAAGTTGTATCATCTGCATATCTCAGGTTGTTAATGATTCTTCCTCCAAACCTGATACCACGTTTTTCTTCATATAGTCCAGCTTCTCGAATTATTTGCTCAGCATATAGATTGAATAAGTGTGGAGAAAGGATACAACCGTGACACACTCCCTTCTTGATTTTAAACCATGTAGTGTCCCCTTGTTCTGTTCGAACGACAGCCTCCTGGTCAAGGTACAGACTCCTCATGAGTACAATCAAGTGCTCAGGAATTGGGATCTATACCCACATTTAAAGAATTGTTCAATGTCCCCTCCCCTCTTCCCACTTTCCATCTCTCTCTCTGCTTCTCTTTTGAATTAGCTCACAACGTCAGGTGCAGGCCTATCTCCGGAGAGTCATCACGAGGAGGAGAGAGAGGGAGAGGAGAGAGAGAGGGAAAGAGAGAGAGAGAGAGAGGAGAGAGGAGGCAAGGAGGGGGCAGGGGAGGGGAGAGGAGAGAGAAAACGCTGAGGTTTTAGGACGATTTAGTGAAAGGTTGAGAAGGAAACGTTCATTTAATTGGATCTGGCTGAATAATGTGTTAGCACAAAAACATAAAATTGGGCAGAATTTCACATTTATTGGGAACATATATGCAAGCACATATGCTAGGGATCCAATGAGCAGACTTGACTGCTAAGCAGAAGGCTGGCGGTTCAAATCCACCAGCCTCTCCTTGGAAGGAAGATGGGGCGATCTGCTTCCATAGTGATACCACCTCAGAAACCCAAGGAGGGGTCGCTATGAGTTGGGTCCAACTCGACAGCACATGACAACAAGAGCAACAATGCAAGCACTGTACTTGACGCCAGGGATCCAACGAGCAGACATGTCCCCATCTTTGAGTTCAGTCTCACGAGGGCCACTGTACATGTTGTGATGGAGCCCCTGGAGAGGCTGTGGGGCAAGGGGCACAGGGAGGAGGAGGAAGGCCGGGCCTCGAAGGCTGTGGCTGCCATGGGTCATCCAAACGTTTTCTCCAGCCGTCCACAGGCTCCCTCAGTAATTCATTGGAACTGTGTCAGTCATCTACTATGTGCGTGGCCCTGTGACATCACCAGGAATCCCACGTGAATAATAAGGTCTCCATCCTCAGGGCGTTCAGTCTGAGACCCAGATAATAAGTAAATCGTCTAACAGTTGATTCAAATATGATCCATGAGACGAAGGACAAGTGCAGGCTGTTCTGATGCGGAACCCCAGTAAGCTGGGTGGGAGGGGCTGCCCTGAGGAAGCCTGCAAGAGCGGAGACCTGGAGGCTGAGGGAGAGCTAGCCAGAAAAGGGGCCTGGGGATGTTTCAAGCGGAGGGAGCTCAGCACATGAGCAAGGCCGTGGAACTGGAGCTTAGAAAGGGAGAAACGGTGCCCTAGGGGAGGAGCGAGTGTGTGATTGGGGCCTACCTTCGCAGGGCCTTGGAAGGCATGTTGAGGAATATGGGCTTTAGCCAAAGCACAAGGGGTTTCCCACGACAACGGAGTGACACAGATCAGATTCACTCTCTAGCGGAAGAATGGGAAGCTGGACTCCAGGCAGGAGAGAGTGCAGGACAATTCATTGTGGGCATGTGAGGCATCTGTGCACATCCAAGGACAAGTGATGTGGGGGCCGGAAGCGTCGCTAGATCCTGAGACTACAGTTTCTCCAAATTCATATCAGACATTCTCCTCCTGGGGAGGAGGCCAGGAGGGGCTGTGGAAGCCAAGGCGATCCGCCAGTTACAGGGCCTCACCTCCGGAGCCCTCCGGGTCCATCCCTCAGCTGATCCTCATCATAAGCCTGCAAAGGAGGCATGTGGGAATGAGCTCCAGGTTGGAGACAGGGACACGGAGGCCGAGGGAGGGGCAGCGACTCGCACATGGTGAAATGCAGGTGGAGCAGACCAGCCCCAAGCATCGCATCCGGAGGCCAGTCCCAGGCCCTCTGTGCATCAGGCCTAGGCCTCAGTCTTTGCCTCTCCATCCTGCGTCTCTTCCTCGTGGAGGGGCTCCAGGCAGCCTGGATCCGCGGCCTCTTCCTTAGACGCTGACTTCTCACAGCCCTCTCCAGGCATTCCATTTTGGACACCTACGTCAGCCTCCATTTTCTCCTTCAGGTTCCGTTTGAAGAAGCCGACCTGCAGGGAGACAAAAATCGAGTGAGCGAGAGGTCCACAACGCACTTGGGACAGACAGGCCCAGTGGGACGTGAAAATGGGAGAATGGGTCCCAGTGGGGGGCACCACCTCTACTGAAAATGTTACGTTACTAAATCATACGCGCTACAGACATCTGGTGCCCAGATGGGGGGATGGTGTTTGCCACTCCCAAGTCCTGGTGATAAGTTAAAGCTGTAAGTTTAACAGTTTGTTCTTTAAGCTGGTCAAAATGTCACATACCAATGTATTGACACAGGTTCATCAACTGTAACAGATGTACTACGGGAAAGCAAGACGCCAATAGAGAAACAGTATACGGGGGTAGGGGAGCTATATGCAAACTCTCTATACTTTCTGCTCAATTTTTCTGTGAATCTAAAACTGCTCTAGAAAATACAGTCTATTAAAAAAAGTCATGTACCAATCTTTTCGGGGAGGGAACTAACATCTAGAATTACTAAGAGAAAGGGCCCACACCTAGAAAGGGCTTAATAGGTGCCATGTGCTCTCTACTGAAAGCTTAAAACATATGTATTTTTCAGCCCAGCTTCTAGGAATTAATCCTAAGTAATATTTGGGCAAAGGCGCTCTGGTGGTGTAGTGGGTAGGGGCATTTGGCTGCTAAACAGAAGGTCGGCTGTTCAAACCCACCAGCTGCTCCATGGGAGGAAGAGGAAGCAATCTACTTCCACAAAGATTTACAGTCTTGATAACCCAATGGGGGTTGCTCTGAATTGACTTGATGGCAGTGCGTTGGGTTTTGTTGGTTTAATTGTTGGACAAGTGTGCAAAGATGTGGGTAAAAAGAGTGTTTTTTTTTTTTTTTGCCACAGTTTGAAATAGATATATATTAGAAACAATCCAAATGTCCATCATGCAGGTGCTCATTCAATAAATGATGGGACATCCCGACTCTCAGGGGTTAAAAATGCGAGACGTGGTCTGATTGTGTCAGATGGAAGGACATCAGGATATAAGATCAAGTGGAAAATGCAAATTCCCAAACTGTATAATATCATCCCATTTATGCTTTCTAGATATATACGCATAAACTGACTTTCTTTCTCTCATACACAGACATGTTACCGAAACGCCAAAACCTGGAGGAATATAAACAAATTGCTTGTTAATGATCACCCTCTAGACGTGCAACAGGGAAAACCTTTGATTTTCTAGGTTCTCTTTTTCTGTAATATTTGAGTTTTTTACATAAGACTTTTGACCCCCCACTACTCTTCACTTGGTTGATTTCATCTCATCCTTCAAATTCCAGATCAAATGCCACCTCCCTCTGGAGGCCTTCCCAGACTTCCCCTCACCTAGGTTAGTCTTCTGCTATAGGCTCCAGAGCATCGAGGCCCCCATTTGTAACCCTCATCATCTTTGTTCCTGTCTGTCTCTGCTGTGAGCTCCACAAAGGCAGGGGCCATGTTTACGGTGTGCACCTCTGTACAGCAGTGCCTGGGCCCTTGATATATGGGAGCTCCTTTCTCTCCCTTGCGACCTCGTCCTGGCTCTACCAGGACTTTGCCAAGTGATGGTGGAAAAGTTTCTCTTGCTCTTTGGGCCTCAGTACCCTCAGCTGTAAAAGAAAGAGGTTGACTGACGTCCTTTCTTGGGATTCTCCTCTCTGGCTCCTGCCAGCTCCCCCTTTCCTAAGCTGTCTTAGCAACGCCTCTGACCCCAGAAGCTCCTACCTTGTACAGCACCAAGAAAATCAGCAGCAGCAAGAGCAGCCCCCCGATGCCACTCAGCACGTAGAGATAGAGCATGTCCTTCTCATACACAACGTCTACCTTCATGGCGACCTGGGGACAGGGAGGGAAGGGAGGAAGTCCTTCATGCCTCCGAAGGCACCTTTGACTCTGGGCCCAGTCTCTAGGTTTTACCATTTTCCCCTCTGGACCGTGTCTCAGACCAGCCCCTGACTCCTGTCTCTCTCCCTCAGTAGGTCCTCTACTGTAGTCATCAGAGTGATTGGGCAAAACCTCACCAAAGTCTCCTTGCAGTCTCCTTGCAGCATTGTAATGTCCCCCCTCTCATGGTGGGACAGAGAGTTTTTCTATAAGGAACATATACGAACTATCCATAGGCTCACGAGCGACTTACTTCAGGCCCTTAAATGGCTCCCCATCAGCCCCAGGAAACAGTCCCGGAATCTCAGCTCAGCCTTGAGCCCTCCAGCACCTGACTCCTGCTTACCTTGTTAGCTTCATCCTCCCTTCTCCACCCGCTCAGCCTGAACTTCCTCCCTGCTCCTCACACCTGCCAGTCCCACTCTTTCCATCCTGGGCCTCTGCACTTGTCACTCTTCCCATAGCGTGCCTGGCTCTCCACTCTCTGACTATTGGGCTGGTCTCCCTTTGCTGACATCAAAGTCTACAACATCTCGGATGGGTGGCTTTGTGGTCTGTTCGACTACCCGCAGTGGTGGTGGGATCGCTTCCAAGGAGGCCTTTCCAACACTCGTGGCTCTCTGGCTGTTGGGAAGTTCTTACTGGGGCCGGGCCTGGTAGACCTCCCACCACTAGCTGTGCCCTGGGCTTCCCAGATCCCTCGGCTTCCTGTTCCCACCCCTGGGGAGATACCTGGGCCAGGGAAGCGTTGCTGCCATAGAGGTGGAAATGCTTGCTGCTGTTGAAGGAGATGGAGAGGGAGCTGCAGAGGCTGAACATGGAGGAGGCCTGTGGAAGAGGCAGGGTAGCTGTGATGGCCACAGAGGACAAGGACCAAGGGTCAGCTGGCTTCTGTCCCCACTCAGTGGGAAGAAGTAGAGGAGAATGGGTCCCAGTGCGGGGCACCACCTCTACTGAAGTCTCCCTGTAGTATTGTAATGTCTCCCCTCTCATTGTGGGAAGGAAAGTTTTTCTATAAGGAACACATATGAACTAGCCATAGGCCCACGAAACCAGTCCTATCATTTTAAACAAATCATGGTTCTGTTTCATCTGCAACTGTGGGGATTTTTCATCAAGGGAGAAAAGAAAGATAGAGAAAGACTATTTGGTGAGGAAGCCCACCCACCATGAGGTACCCAGGCTCCTGGGCCCCAACAACCACTTCCTGTCTGTGATGAGCACGTAGGTGTTACCTCAATCTCTCCCACGAGCTCGAGTGTTCCAATTACTTGGATGAGGGTCTCCTGTTTGAAGACAACTGGGCAATGGAACATGGCTCCAGGAAGGCACGGCTGATGGGGGGGACAAGGGATAGCAGAGGGGTCAGGGGGACCTATCTTCCTCCTTCCACGCACTCGTGCTCTGCCCTGCCCCCACCCATTGCTTGTCTACCATGTCTGTACCTCAGCACTGCTGGGCAGCCTCTTCAGAGCCTCATGATGGCAGGAGACAGGAGGATCCTAAGAATGATGGGGTGAGGGTCGTTGGTTAGTCCAGAGCTTAGGGAAGACACTGGCCCCTTAAAGCCGGAACCTGGCATTCCTTCCTCCAGACCTGGGCATCCCAGTTCTCCTCCCTCATTGGGCCTTGGTAGACTCAGACACCACCGAGTCCAACAGGATTCATCCATCGTCACCCCCTTCCAACACATCTAGCTCTGCCATCTGCACCCCTTTCTGCGCCCACCCTTCACAGACGCCCGTTCCTTCCCCACTCTGCGCACCACTCACCATCTGCACGCTCCACTTGTGTGCGATGGGCCCCTTGTTGTGAGACTGTGGTACCCCAACCAAGGCCTCCAGGGCGGGCATGTTGTGGTCATACATTGAAGGCTGAATCCTCACCTTGACAGAGAACAACATGGAGCTGCAGAGCCCTGAATTCCAGTCTCCCAGCTCTACCCTCGACCCTCCGGCCTCATGCACCTCTTCCAATGCCATTGGCTAAGACACACAGGCTTGTTATTTTTTAGGTACAGTGCAATGATCCACCAAGTCCCCTGTCCCCAAGACCTCCTAGTCCCAGCTACATCTCCTCCCTCTGTCCCGGATGCTCTTCCCTGCTTTCTCCACGTGGCCAACCTCACACCTCCTGCCAGGTCCTGCTCAACATCGTCTCTGGAGGTTTCATGGACTCCCGAACGATGGGACAGCACCCCCTCCTGCGTCCCCACAGCACCTTACATCCCCAGCAGGATGGCAGTGTGTCTGGGTCTCCACTAGCCTGGGAGTTCCCTGAGGGCAAGAGCTGTGTCTTTTTTTTTTTTTTTTTTTCAGTTGTGATTTTGGTAAAAGTTTACAGAGCAAATTGGTTTTCTATCCAATTTGTATACATTTTGTTTTGTGACGTTCATTGCAATCACCATAATTAATAGCTTTTCCCACTGCTTTCCCGTATTTACTATTTCTATTCATCCTTCTTGCCTACCTGCACCTCCCCCAGCTTTCTGAGCTTCATCCCTGGGCAAACGCTGTCCTTGTGTGTACCTTCCTGGTGTTAGTGTTCACCTTATAGGCTTGTCTATGGCTTGGCTGAAAGTTGAGCCATGGGGGTGAGTTTAGTTCCAGCCTTGAAGGGTATCTGAGGGCCTAGGCTCAGGGTTCCATCAGTCTCCATCAAGTCTCCATCAGACCCGTAAGCTTGGTCTTTTTTATGATTTTGCACTTTCTTCCACATTTTTCTTCCACTCTATCTAGGACCCCCTACTGTGATCCCTTCAAGAGCAGTCAGCAGTGATAGCCGGACACCATCTAGTTCTTCTGGTCTCATGCTTATGAAGACTGGGGTTCATGTGGTCCATAGGACTAATTGTTTCCTTGTATCTTTGATTTTCTTCACTCTGTTCTGGTTACCTAGTGCCACTCTGACAAGAATATATATATACCACAAATGGGATGGCCTTAACAAACAGGGGTTTATTCTCTTACAGTTTGGAGGCTTTACGTCCAAGTTCAAAGTGGCAGGCTCTAGGGGCTGGGTGAAAGCCCCTCAATCTTGGGGTCCAGCTCTGCCTCCTGCTCTCGGCCCACTGGAGCCAGAGGCATTTCTTCACTCAGACAGCTGCTGGCTGCTGAGGCTGCCAAGCCCAAGGTTGACAAGTAAAAAGGTACAGTCCCGATGTTACCAAACCACACGCCAGGCCATTAACTTAAGTCCATCGTAAGTCCCAGGTCAGCAGAGCATGGCAGGCTGCTGAACAACGACACGGCTACATGCAGCCAAGCGTGCCACAAGCTAAAGATCCCAAGGCTTCTCCTTATATACAGGAAGCAGACCACATCCCAAAGGCAGCTACTCAGCTGCTTGTGGTAGATCCCACCATGGAGTTGATTGCCAGTCTCCTCATGGGGATTAACTACAGCTGCCCAGACACTCAACCAGGCCCAGCCAAGCTGACACACAAACGTAACTACCACACTCTTCTTTGCTCTGAATGGAAAGAGAGCAATAGTCACACCTTAGGTGGCTGCTAACAAACTTTTACGATCCCTGCTCACCGAAGTAGGATATCATCTTTGTGGACGAAGTTATGCCAATTGACCTTAGTGTCCCTTGAGTATGGTCCTGAGCCCTCAGACCCAGCACCTCATTCCTTCAAGGTATGTGGTTATAGCTAAGAAATTTTCCTAACTTTGCCCCTGTGTGCTCTGCTATATTCATGCATATATTTGCAACGTATATAAATACATATGTAGAAACATCCTCTGTCAAACCTGTGTATAGTCCCGGGTGTAGCCCCATATTTCTTCCCACCTCTGTTCATGCATCCACTTGCAGACATTGTTATTACTGTCATTGCAGGATTCGGTATGTAATAGGATTCACCTTTGTTGCCTTTAAGACTCCTGCTCCTCTTTGTGTCCTCTGCCTTGATCATTTTGGGCTGACGTCCCCCTTATTTATATAGCCTCTCCCTTCACCCAAGTTAATACGTGTCTACCCTCTGG